TGCAGTCAGCAGCGTCTTCCTATTGCGGCGGTCTGACAGTCGTATTGATCGGAGATGTTGCCGCCGGGCGATGAGGCCGTTGACCTCTGACCGGTCGTTCTCTGGGGCCGGTAGTGCCGTGGTTATACGGCCGTGGTCCACTGGTTTACGTTCTGTCTGCTCCGCACGCCGAGACGGAGCGCCACCCGCGGTAAGAAGCGTGCGTGGACACGCTTCTTACGATCGATCAATGGCGGGGTGGAGGCAACTAAATGATTCAGTACGGACGGAGTTTGCCAAAACACACCGGCGCTTTGGACCACTAAGTGATGGCACTTTGTGGTCTCTTTATACGTGTTGAAGGCCCGATTGTTGTGTTAGTAAAAGCGAGCCCATTTAGCAAGTTCCTTCCGTGCCTCTCTTCGGGTGAAAAGGCGTAGCGAAATTGAGTTGTTGACTCGATCGATGGCTTCATTTTTCATTAAAAAGTGTTGTAGTTGAGTCCTCTCCCTTGTAAAAAGCGCGTCTACCATATGAATTTTACCTCGGTCTCCTTGCCATGCATATCATCAGCAAGTGTTTTAATATATACGGACTTAGACGTATATAGAATTGGGCAGCCTGAAACTAACAGGACATTAAACTTAAATGGTACATAAACGCTCTCGTCGTCCTGGCTGCGGTATCTATTGCTGAAGCTCGATATTCCCTACTTCAGCGCCCGCCCATGCCAAGCTTCTCCGCTCACTGTGGTCAAATCCTAGCGCTAAGCTTCGCCTTCCTTCATGCTTAGCGCTAGGACGAACTTTGCTCAAGACGCTAGCTTCGTCTTGATCTCCACTCATCCATCTGAATTTCTGCTCGGCGTACCCGCGCTGCGCTCCTTCTGTCCACCGTCCTAGCGCTGATTTTCTGTCCTCCGGCAGGTACGCTGTGATGGAGAACATGCGGTTCCTGCTGGAGCCTTACCCGCCACAGCACCCCATCTACTTCGGCTGCAAGTTCAAGCCGTTCACCAAGCAGGGATACATGAGCGGCGGCGCAGGTAAGGCGGGGCCGAGGCTGAAGGGGGAGGGCAGGTCTGGGAAGGGTAAGGATATGAGATGTTGCATGACGTCTGTGAGTGTAGGCATTGGCCTTTTGTTAGCGCGTTTAGTGCTGTGATTTGTGTACCTACCAATAATGGTTACGTCTTTAACGACAAGGCATTGGAGGTGACCATACCTTTATGGTTATGTCCTTATGATATTCGACAATGGCCGTGGTAGCATTAGATTCGGGTTAGCCGTATGTAGACGCTTTATACAGACTAGATAGTTGATATGTCTGGGGGGACACCGTGTTATGGCAAGCATTTCTGTAGAATACGGTAATGGGGGCAATAAGTCCAACTGTACCTACGTCATAAGACACTGTAATCGATTTGATCGTGCAATTTACGTGAGGCATGTGCAATGTTTATGTTGTGTGGATTTATTTGTTCCACATACTGTGTACCGTTTATGGTTGTGCTGGCCCTTCCACTTCCCGATCACGGGCGGTGTCATTAGGATTTGGGTTCACGTCCTGTGGGATTTACGACCTATTGTGGCTTTAAAAAAGAGGTGCTGGCTAAACTGTCGTGCTTCACCAGCACATGCCCCGCTAGTGGTCGCGCAGGTGGCAGGCTGTTGGCACTTGCGGGATCTTGCCACGCCCTTTTCAGTCGGCCAGTGTCCACTGTCCAATGCCTACCTAGTCCTCTAATTCAGTCCAGCCCAGGGATAATCTTTTGGAGGGGAAAGCGAACTGTCCTATTCAGTACTCTGTCTGTCTATTATAATAACTCACCGTACTTCACTTCGCATCGCCTCCCACCAGGTTACGTGCTCAGCCGTGAGGCCCTCAGACGGTTTGTCGAGGTCGGACTGAAAGACCCGAAAAATGCAGGAAGGATCACGGCGGAGCAGAGGACGCCGAAATGGGTGAGTTGCTGCTCAAAGTGCAACTACGTAGAGCTACAGCTGACAGCGTGGGCTATCTGCCATCTGAAGAAAGCTCAGTCGCCGCCTGTAACAGTGCCCTGAATAGGACTTTGCTACATATCGACGCGTTTTTTCCCGAACCCCACATCTCTTGGAAAATCGCGCCGATATATTACCGCTCACTGCGGACCTGTTCGGTATCCGCTGATATATTATTTAATGGCGTTACTTCACCACCTCCTGCCGTGTTCGTCCCAGGGAAGTGCATGGAGAAGCTGAACGTCACGGCCGGAGACAGTCGGGACGCCCAGGGACGGTACCGGTTCTTCCCTTTCACTCCGGAGAGTCACCTGGTAGCGGAGAAGTTCCCCAAGAATTTCTGGTACTGGAAGTACGTCTTCTACCCCCAGCCCAGGGTGAGTGAGTGGGCGGGGGGGGCAATAGTAACGGTTGAGGGTCAGGGGATGCCGGGGCCTGATGATTGCTATGAACGTTAGCTCAGATGGCGATTGGCTATCGGAGGGCTGCGGACACAGTTCAAAGATAGGACGTGGGATGCAGACGGGGCGGGATAGTTGCAAACCGTACAAAACATTGAACTGTTAAGCCCGATAGTTCGGAAAGTTAGGCTATTACATGGCCTGAGGAAGCATGGGCCTGTCGACGTCATTTTGAATACAAAATAATGAAATAGGGTCCAGTTTCACAATGAGACTGTCGTAGGCGTGACTATCCTGTCCGGAATCCGAATCTGGAACGGTTGCATCCGACGGACACGGGCCCTCGGACATTGAGGTCCATTTCATTCATCATCGGACGGGGGGTCAGCAGTGGCTGTTCAGTTGATAGACCTATCGACCTGTGGGCCGACAAGGATTCTCCATCTGTCAACAGCAGATGAACCCACAAACTGGCTGAAGTTGATGCATGTCGTGTTCTTCTTGGGAAGTTTGTTCGCTTAGACTGAGCCCGTCCACTTTTTTACAAGTTTGTGCTAAGTCTGATTGTTGGATACTATGTAGTTTGATGAAATTTGATGAAGCTCAAAAGTTTGATTTATGATTTATTGTCCGAGCAACTGTTACCATCACAGTTTTTCCTCACTATTTTGTCACGGACTCCCAGCAACCGAAACATCCTCGTGAAACGAAACATTTGGGGTGCCGAAGCGACGAGGTCGACGAATCCCTCAGAAAGGAGACGCTCTGTCAGCTGATAACGAGTGACTGCAGCTGTTTAGGAAGACGTACCCGAACATCAACATTTGTTGGATCAGGTTTTCGTTGTCATCCACATAAAAAATAAATGCTTCAATTATACCAAAACTCGTTACAAGGCTATTCAAAATGTGAGCACACTAACCCAAATGCCGTTCAATGTCCCGCATGCGAGAAAAAATAAACGTGATGCCGTGCGCTCTATACAACCATTTAGTCGCCTGGTCCTAGCACCCTCATCAACAGTCGTTAGGTTTCCATGACAACTGTCGCCGGTCTGCACGGAAGTTATCGCCTCGTCGTGCCGCCGGCCGCGGCGATGATGTGACCCCACCCGAACACGGTCACCTATTATTTCCATTACCCCACCAATAGGGCCTGTTTATAGAGGTCCCCGGCGTGGGCGCAGAGCACGTCAGCGAACAGCAGACATCGATAATGTACCTACAATCGACCTGCCCACGACACCACGCCATAAGCCGTTGTTCGGTACATTGCGATAATTATTGTTAGGTGCTTAGATTAGGTCCTGCAATTTGCGGGCATGCTGCTGAATGACCGGTGACCTTTAGGTGTGCCGTGCAGCTCATACATGACATCATCCAGGCATTTTCTAAAGCTGGCTTCTGTGGTCCGTAGGTGAATGACCTGAAGCCTGAGTTGTATTATTGACGTCATCTTATTAATGTATGTTTTTGCCGCCAATGCCATTGAGCGTTATGAAAGTGTCTCGCGACAGCGTTGTTGTATGTACATAGGTTGCCACTCCCATTCATTCCCACCTCTTACTAGCTACAATTCCCACTGACGCCGTCCATCGCCTGCCCACAGGGCATGGACTGCTGCTCCGACTCGGCCATCAGTTTCCACTACGTGCCGCCCAACATGATGTACACCATCGAGTACCTCATCTACCACCTGAAGCCGTACGGCGTGCGCACCCGTCTGATCCCCGCTGCCCCGCCGGACTCGGCCGTCATACCGCCGGGGGTCCACTTCCCCACACCGCCGACTACCGCGTCACCTATTGGCAAGACGACCGTACCAGAGGTTCCACGACACACCACCAGGGCGGCGGTCAAAGCGGCGAGCCCGCACGCAGCTCCGAAGACGACGGCTGGGAAACGGTTGACGACTCCGGCGGCGCGCACCAAACGCTCCGTGAGCATGCTGCCGTCCAGGAGGCCGACGGGAGGGTCTGCGAAGCCTCGACGGCCCACCGAGGCGGCGGCGGGTCGCAAGACGGCGACCCCCGGCGCCCCGGCTGAGAAAAAGGCGCCCACAGTCTGGACTGCAGGGCCGACGGCGGCCGCATCCCAACCCCCAGCGGCAGGGAAGGATTCCGGAAAACCAGCGGCGAAAGGGGCATAGCCGGGAGATAGCACTTCGCCGTACTGCACTTAGAACGTGTCCGCTGGAAACTGAAGCGGTTATCCTCACCAGGAGGAGCTCGAGCAATGGACGTTCAGCCGAAAACTAGTCGGTCCTTGCCAAAAACAGGCCAAAGGGCGGTCTGCGGGGACATATCCCGGTCGGTCATATGGACGACAAGGAGATCGTTAGGTCCTAAACTAGTATGTTGAGCCGTGCTGGTCACGAGGTGTGTCGGAAGGCCGACATTCGACGCCAGTCAGGCCGTGGACGCCGCATTGGCCGCGGGGCTGGAACGGCCAGTTGGTCTCGGGGCTGTGGTAGGGTGATGCTAATTCGGAGTTACCATACAGTGATATTTGTGGGGATGAGGGATGGCGATGTGTAAACGAACTTTGTGTGCGTGTGTGATAACGTTAGAATGGGTACGTCCCCATTTTTGTTCGTCTCAAAACCATTGAGATGACTACAGGCAGCTGCCATATGCTTTTAAACAACAATCCCAATTATTTTGGGAATTCGAGTAGCACAAACGTGACATTCCCAGTCATTGACACGTTGTTCGCTCCGTGTTTTTAGTCTATTTCCATTCCTTGACAAACGGGTGAAATTAGGGAGTGAAGACAGTGAATGTGCTGATCTCGAACGATTCGTGATATCGTTGATAGTCATGCCAGCGGAGACATGCGCACACCGAATACGTGCCCTTAGTGAACAGAACATTCCAGAACATGTGATAACCGACTGTCTGCTTCTACTACGCACACCGCTAACGATGTCGGAATGAGTCCATCCCGCGGTCACCGGAGCAGCGCTGCTAAATTAGTTCGTGTGAAAACTTCCCGGTCCGAGCGAGTCTGAACAGCCTACGCAGCGCAGTTGTCCGCGGAAAACTCTGCTGATTTACATGTTACCAACGACTTTCCGAGGCTTTGAAGCTCCTGACGGAATTTCCGATGAAACAGCCAATGCTACCATGCTCCATGTGCTTCGTCGCTAGGATTGGCACACAGCCTCGTGGGTTTTATTTATGCCAGTACCAGCGGCAGCCACACGAAGTACCGAGTGCTGCGTTTGTCCTATGTGCGCCTGTGGTGAACGGGCGCCGGCATGGCGGAAAGTGAGAAGATGAGTAGGTACCGTGACGTGATCGCGCCCATTTTACAAATGAATTGTGCCAAAGGCGCGCGATGGCCCACTCCGATGCTGGGGAAACAGTGTGTGATATGCGTCGCGGTGGCACTTGTGTCACTATCGAGTCGGGTTGTACTTGCAGAGCATCATCAGGCTGATGTGTGGGGTTCGTCCGACCTGTCCACCGAATGCCACTCTGGAACTAACACCGTGCTGTGTTGTGAGTCCCACCTCGCTGGGTGAATTCAGGGGCTCGTGGCACGGTTACCCTAGAAGTGTCCGTCAGTCCTGTCGTGTGTGGTAGGCTGTCTGGGGCGCGCGGGGCTGCTTGGAAACGGTGTTGGGAAGCGCAATGGGAATCCACAAGGGGCGGGAGGAGCCGTGTGTTTTATAAACAGATAACGGGTGCAGTGCTGGGTGGGCGCCATTGGCGACTGTGTGCGCGTTACGGTTAGCCGCGCGGGCGCTGCCAGGCGTGACGTGTCCACATATCAATAAATTGCTTGTCTGAAGTATGCATTATTGTGGTTTATAGGCGTCAGCACCTACTCAGACGGCACTTTTTGGAGAGGAAAATTCGATCACATTCTAACAATGCCGATCCTGTGTGCACAACAGGAGTCAGGAAGGTGTTCTAACATGTGTTCCGCCACAGTTCCGAGCCTGGCAAAGCCCCCCCCCCCCCCCCCCCAGGCAAAAATTGACTCGAATCCCTAAAGGCTGAAACAGACTTTGCGCATACAGGAAATCCCATGCGAGAGCCTATTCAATTCAAATACATTATAATTCTTCCCGCATCAATCGCATGCGGGAGGTGCGTGCGATTGATGCGAGCGTGCTTCCATGTATTTTAATAGGCTCTCGCATGCGATTTCCTGACTGCAGAAAGAGTCTGTTTCAGGCTTAACTCTCACTCCTTCCCCTCACTGCGATGGTGACGCGGGTCTAGCTACAACAAAATAAAGTACAGATGCAAGTAACAGCCCATCCAGAGGCTGAATAAACAAGTACAACAAAACAAATAGTACGAAAACTAACTTTGAACAGGCCACATCGCCTAACACGTGAACACATGTGACACGAGCCCTCTCCCCTCCCCCTCATTTCCAATCAACAGACCTGTGTCTCCCGGAACCCGATAACAGCTCTTTGATAACATGTTCCACATTCCTCTATTTCGGGAGAGGAGACCGGAGGCGGCTCTTCAGAGCCGACAACACATACCAGCGGTTCGTTATCGGTCACAAAAACACTTCCCGGTCCAGAACAGCGACAGAGTTTGTCCCCCGACCCAGTTTCGCCGTTGTGTGCGCGATGATGCGTGTTCTTGTGTGCATAGTTCCGCTAGTCCAGGCGTGTGTGTTAGTGCTCCCGCCAGAGTTAAGCGTTGGCCGTTGCTCTCAGGACGCGACAAAATGGGCACAGGGCGGAGCCTTCGAGTAAATGCATTCCCATAACATCCGCACGATTGCGAGTCGCGACAGTCCCCGTTCAATGACTGGTGTATTAAATACATATATCAGGGGAGTAGCACGACATCACATGCACACAAACACCAACACGATACCGGTCGATCTGACGGGAACCTCCGGTACCATTCTCAACACAACACACATACACCTCGGAGGCGAAATAGACGCTCACACACTCGAAAAACGATCACCATAATGCCGTCTCATCAGTCGGGCGGGGCCGACCTGCCCATTTCGATATCGCACATTCATTATGAACAAGCAGGGATTGATGAAAGAGTTTGATTAGAGTCCCGTTAGGCTAAATCTTTTTTGATTACAACACTGTTAAAACATATTTAAATCGATATAATATAATGCTCGTTCGATATTGACTAAGTTAATAAATTTTCACTTTTGTAGTCATGCCCAATTCAGCCTAATTTTGGCAGTAGTTCCCTGTACTCCGGTACCGGTAATTCAGTCAACGACAACCACAGCATAATTGGACACTAGGGCAAACGAAGAACACATAATTCCAGCCTCAGTTCAAACAAATCCCAAGCAGTTACATTGTGTGAATTATGCGAAACGAGCATCTGACTGATAAGAAACGTAAGTTTTTATTTGAAAGAAGTTACACGGTTTCGTCGGGATATGCAGGGAAGTATGCGATGATAAGATACTACAAAAAAAAGGAAGCGGAAAATACGGTACATAGTCGATAAGAGTGGTAAATATACAAAATTACCTCGAACGTACCTCGAGTACGGAACCGATCCCATCATTTAACCGCATTAATTGCGCTCAAAATAAACAGAGCACCGCAGACATACATACATAGGGTTTACGCAACAGCTACGGTAAATCGCATGATTCGGCGTGTATCGATCAGTAAAGCTATGTTCATGCCATTCGCGGGATGTTAGTTACCAGCTCATGGGGGAATAGAAGGCGGCAGGCGCAGCGGGTTCGCTGGACTATTGGCAAGCAGCGGTACATATCAAACTATCACAAACCGACTTACAAACAATAATGACCACGGACGCCTGAAAGAACTCACACTTGCCCAACATCAGCTGGCTAGGCACGACGTTTATCTATAATAAACTTAAACATGCACTGAAATATTTGTAGCGTACCAGTAATTCATAGCTCAGGATTAGTTGGTAATCAAAAGGGAGCGGTACCTAACATCTAATATTAAATCGGAGGTGCAAGGACTACGTATCATCACTGTAATAAGATATTTAGGTAACGGTTGAAATATTAAGGAAATCACGCATGTAGTTTGTGCATGAAGAGTCACGTTATAATTCTGATTATTTAAAACAGACTTGAAGTCTGGCGAAGGCCTTGCCTTGATAAATGGTACGCTACGTACTTATAAAAAAACGAAAGGCTTTGAGTAAGCAAGCGTCATGTAAAGAAAAGGCAAAAGTCGCCGAATGAAGCACAGTGCGGATAGGAAAATGTTAAAGCATCGTGCAATAGGACAAGAGAGAACAAACTAGATTTGAATGGACTTCTAGCATCACTATCAATATCTATTTCTTCGAAAGTTTTGGAAGAAAGCCTACGGAAAGCTCTTGATTCATGCAGGCCCTAATGCTAAAATCAGCGCGCACGGGGACCAGTATTAGCTGACACCCGGTATCTACTGAAGTAGCAGCATGACTCCACAAATAAATATCGCAGCCGACCTACAGTCGGCGCCCCGAACACCTGGGCCCATCCTATTGTGAAGCTCTGCACGTTACGGCGTTTGGTGACACCAATAGTCGAACACAGCAACAGGCGCCGCTCACAGAGCACTTAGGAATGGCCCCGTAACTTCAAACGCGAAAAGCACAGCATGTGGAGCACCATTGCGTAAACAAACACCATGCTGAGATAGCTTTAACGTAAAACCAGCGCGTGGCAAGCAACACGGCACGGGAATAGTCAGGTCGCGCGCCGCTGTGGCCCCTCCCCGCTCAGTTGTGCCGTGGCATGTAGTGTAATGTCCCCAGACGATATGGTCTCAAAGTGGCGTGCCCACTGAAGCACCACGTCACCCGGTGGCGCTCAGGAACAACCCTCAGCGCTGATGCCTGACGGAGCCTGCCTATTTTAAATCGTTCTCAGCGCCATTTTAACCTCCGGTGGCGCCACCTTTAGCTTCCTGGCGCCATCTACCGTTAACAGCGTTGGCTCTCGGATACCGCTGACCTGCGCGCTCGTGTGCGGTTGGCTGCTCTGAGACGGGAGTCTAGCGGCCGCCCGACTTGGACTTGGTGATGAGCCACTGCAGCGTGATGTCGATGTTGTCCTTCTCCTTGCAGGAGATGGAGTAGCAGCAGATCTCCCGGTCCTGGATCGCAGACAGGTTCCTGAAAAAAAATAACGCGTCATGATTGACATTTCAGCAGATGGATTCACAAGCACCGCTGATGACGCATAAAAACTGCATTAAACACGCAAGTGACGAGCGTGAAAATGTCAGCAATGTTATTTATGCTTATCGGAATCAACTATCAGTTATTTTAGCGAGAAGCGGAACAGAATATGTGTAGATCATGATTATCAAATCTTATCCACGTTCAAAACCAGTATCAGATACGAACGCGCATACAAAGTCAACTACCGCACCGCCCCCCCCCCCCCCCCCGTTTGTCGACTACGGTTGCTCGGCGCTGACGTAGCCACTGAACCATCTACCCTATATCGATTATCGGCGCTCCACATTTCGGATGAGTCATCGAGCCTGCACAGCCACTAGCGTCCGTGTGAATAACGGACACCAAGACCTAGACTTCAGTAACAGCCGGCATATCCTTCTCACAGACACCCAGAACCAGGCCTTAAAGGCTTTGCTTTAAAAGTTTGATGTCTCAAAGTTGCGAATGGATAAGCAATTGATTACGGATGAGTTTTGTAGTGTGTGCCCCTCTAGCTGGCATGAAGAAGGAAATTCGTATATCTAAGGTAAAAATTCATATACCATATATAGGCATTAAAAAATCATATATAGGTATATTTTTCTACTTGGATTTATCACAGACAAGCCCCTGTCGTTAATAGCCTGATAAGAACAACTCCTGACAACTCCTCGAACAACTCCTGACATTAGCACAACAGGTCCAAAATTATATTACGTCAACTAAACGTTTTTAATGACATCATGTACACCCTCGTCTGTAGTTCTGGGAACCCCTGGCACTGCTGCTGCCGGCTGCTGATCCATCTTTATTACTGAGCGGGTAAAAGTAACCACACCTACACGAGCGGCGGTCAACAAGTAGTCAATAAATGAATAAGTAAGCAAACACATAGATAATAAGGTAAAAAGTGTACCTACGAAATCAAAATGCTGATTAAGCAAAAGGCGCCATGAATCAAGTGCTAAGGCACTTTTGCGCCAATTGCATGTTCATCTTATTTTTATTTCTGTCCATTTATGTTTGTAATAAAATTCGTTGTGTGTGTGTGTGTGTGTGAAAGAACGGGAGATGACTGGAAAAAAATGATGAAATAAGAACAGCGCTGGATGGAGCTGATAGGCAGATAACTGATATTGCATCATTTACAGCGCAATATGGATTGGATAGCTTACGGAATAAACAGTGACGCAGTGCTGCCAAACATGACGTTGAGAGATGTCTGAAACGACAGATAAATACTTATGCGAGTATTAACTCTCAGTACTTATTACCTTATGAATAAACTCTCAGTCGGCTCGGCGGCGTCCGGACGGAAGACATTCATCGGTACACTCACATCCTCTCGATGAGCCCCTTCTCGTCCAGGGCGTTGGGCAGGTCGCGCTTGTTTCCCAGCACGAGCACAGGGATGCCAGCCAGCTGCGGCTTGTCCAGCAGGTTGTGCAGCTCGTTCCTGGACGCTTCCAGCTTCTCCTGGTCGGCAGCGTCCACCATGTACCTGCGCGTGACGACCGCAAGAGCTGGGTGAGACTCGGAGAGAGAGAGCGACTTACGCTCGCTGACGCGGTTAGAACACGAAACATATGGGTATCATGTTTGGTCAATGTGCTAGAATGGTGGTACAAAAAAATGCACATTTTCACAACGAAGCAGTAATGGTTACTCATAAGATCTCAATTAACTCGAGTATATTAAATCTCATAAGACGTAAAAGTCACATACAATATACAGGGTGTCCAGAAAAAAACGGATACTATTATTTTTGCTGTAATTCCAAAAAATAAACACCGCACATTTTAAAATAGCACATGCTTGTATTCGCAAAAAAAAATATGGCAAAACAGACAGCAGGTGCCACATGACATGTAAACCCTTTGGTCAGTCACAGCAGCTCCTCAAAGCAGATTCTCAATGTGAGCGGCCTTCCGGCGGATCAGCTCCAGCACTAGCACAGTCTGCAGGTGACTGATGGTCATGTTGACCATCTCAGAGGGCAGGCAGACAACTTTCCAACGACGTATTACAGTGCGCATGACTTTTGCCACATCTTGCACTATAAGCACATGAAGTTGGAAAGAAATCGGCACGTGCGTTAATTAATGCGACTTAATTTCCGTAGTATCTTTTTTTCTGGACACCCTGTACATAGACTGAATAAGTCCATCTGATCCGGCGATCAACGTAAGTTTTGTCACGGGAGTTCGCCGAAGAAGCAGAAAGAACTACCGCCCGACCCGGCCGTTGATTGGCACAAGTACATTGAACTGTTTCGCAACGGCATGCATCGGACCTTAAACGGTTATACGAGCTGAGCTTACGAGTTGAAGCGATAACAGCGGCCCCACCGGGGAACAGGGACATTACTGACATTGCCAATGGTGACAGAGGACCAGGCATGGAGTGTTCGGAGGTTGGAAGAGTGTTTGGCGACACTACGAGCTTCTACCTGCGTTGGGCAGCAGGCGCTGTAATTAACCCTCGCCGGACCTATTGGTTTTCTACATACGCGCCGGCCGAGGGGGGGGGCGGGTACGACCCCCCCCTCGCCGTTTCGCCCCTGGTGGAGCTAGCGCGTCGCGGAAAAAAACGAGCGTGTGCGCCGTAACGAGACGCAGAGATTGGTACCCGATTTTAAGGTCCTAGGTCATCCGGTGACCTCTGAGGTCAGGTCAAGTGCCTCAGGGTACGGTTCAGTTTTTGGTGAATAACTTCGCAAAAAACGGCCGCAGAGCGCCGATTTTGGCAGCATCGTGTTCGCCTCGCTCAGGCGCGTCGAATGATATACTTTTTGTCCGGGTCAGGTCAACTTGGGGTGTTGACCTCAGGTCAAGGTCAGGTCAGCACCCCCAGGTCACGAAGTTGGTCGAAAGAGGTCATGTCGCATATCATTCGATTCGGCAGGCCTTCCTGAGTTCATTGGTGCCTTTCCCGACTCGCTAGCTCAATTTGATCAAGAGTTATTGACGAAAAACTAATTTGACCTTGATGACGTCATAAATGACGTCACGCAAGGTCAACATTGCAAAAGTGACGCATCTAACCTTGCAAGGAGTGCATCAAATCACGATTCTGTGTGCTTGAGATAGTTGGAGATCGTTCCCGGCGCCAGAATAGCAGTTTGAATTTTTCCCCATTGACTTATAATGGTGAGGTCACGAAAATGACCTGACCTCATATGACCTTTAGGAAAAATCCGAGATATACAAGTTGTGGGACTCATAATGGATACTAGATCCTGAAAGTTTCATTTCCCTGTGACATCTCCTCTGGCAGTGAGGGCGTTGCGAAGTTGCGACATCTGAAGACCGTGCAGAGGTTCACTTATGACGTCATAGGTCAGTGACCTGACCTGACCCAAAAATGCGGTTGGTGTCAAAGATCCGGCTTGGATCAAAGGTCAGGTATGCCAAGTTTCAGCTCTCTATCGCCAGCGTGTTTGGAGCTATCGCGAAAAAACCCTATGGGGGGGGCGGCACCCGCCCCCCCCCCTCGGCCGGCGAGGGTTAAAGCACCAATTTCATTATCACCGTCCTCCATTTCTGGGTTTTTGAAGAAGAAAAAAAAACGCTGAAAGGCGACCAGATAAGCCCCGGTATACCCAGAACGCGGTGGAATGAATCCTTAGCGATAAAGCGCTGTGACAGATCCATGAAGCATACATCCACGGACAAATAGCCAACCGTTCCATATTATATACCTACACAAAACTACGTTGAACTTTTCCCAGATTGCTCATACTTCATAGTGGTAAGGGTATACATTCCATAACGATACAGTTCACATATCCCATGACATTTCAAAACATACCCCGATCAAGGATACATAATTAAGGGCTCATTGTATTTCCCGCCTACCGACATGCTAATCAAGCTAAGTCTCCCAGCCTCGGCATATGTCGCAGTGAGTCGAATTGCTTCTCCGCCACCACGTGTGGGGCCCACGTGCGCAGCCCCTCCCCCCCGCCCAGCCAACCCGTCTGTCCAAACAGGGCGCTGCACTTGTGATGACGAAACCCACCGCGCCCGGCCGTCTGTTGTCAATAGACACGGGCCTGCGGGCCCAAAACAGACACCGCCTCGCTACCCGACCGGACATAGCGCGGACCGCCACGTTATAAAACGCTGCCAGACCGCGACGTTATAAAACGCTGCAGAGCCGGCGGACAACAGCCAAAGCGGTAAAAGAGGAAGAGAAAAGACCGTGAGACATCGGCAATAAAGTCTATAAAATGTTTCTCACTGCTATTCAATGGGGTCAGGGTAGCGATTGGTAGCCAAATTTGTGGCAGATGGGATGCCCTGAGCTAGCAATATTTCCTGCAAATGAAGATTGGGGTTCTATGCCAATTTGACTGGAATTAAGTTAACTGGAATCAGTAACGAAGCTGACTCTTCCCAGAGGTCCGATTCAAATATATCACCATGCATCCCGTCACATTCTTTGTGTCAGTCACACGAGCCCCAGGTACTTACACAATGGCATTGACACCCCGGCAGTAGCGTTCCCACATGGAGCGGAAGCGAGGCTGGCCACCAATGTCCCACAGCTTGATGGTCACATTGCCTTTGGAGACCTTGCGCATGTTGAAGCCAACAGTTGGGATCATGTCCTCACTGAACTGGCCAGACTGCAGGAATGAAAAAGAATATCAGATAAATGATAAATTATGAAAAGTGAGAGGAAAACACTGGGCAGTGGGTACACAGGAAGTAATGATCATAAAAATACTCAAAGGAATATTTCATTTTTACAGACAAGTCTGAAACTTATGTAAGGTTCTGGTAGCTATGAAGATTTAACATGCAAAATGTAACAAGAAATAATAATGTCTTGAAAATGGTAATAAGCCAACACAGAAACATGATCTCTGTCTCTCTGACTTGATGCCACTGAAGATGAAAGCAAACTCCAACAGATTAGATGGACAAAATAAAAAATAAACTGGAGTTCATACATTTAAATGAGCATGAAAAACATGTTAGATAACTGCTAATGATTATCAAGGTAGCCAACAACCCTACTCACCGCAATGACATTAACAAATGTAGTCTTTCCCGAATATTGTAGGCCCACCAATGTGAGCTCCATTTCTTCCTTCCAGAACAAGCTTTTAATCCAGTCAAGGAACCGATTCACAAGGGCCATCATCTTGAAGGCTTTTAAGTATACTCGGAGGTTAGGTAATAACGATTGGTTTTAAAATATGTTTATGGGTGCAGTCAAGACTCAAGGCGATGACGCCCCTTCGATAGTTGAATGACAAACGGAGTACCACCTCAACCTACAGCACAGGCAGCGTCAGTCACACTGATCAGTGGAATCCCAGCGCTCAGTTCAGACACTTATCTCACACTTGTTGTGACTCACGAACCCACCACACGCCCAGACACCACTCAATGAAAACGGAACGCAACACTCCCACTGTATTTAGGGCCTTGACTCCGACCGCTCCTGAACTTTGTGCCCTGTTATTTATGCATCAGCAACAAACGTCGTCAGTCCTGGCGCATGTGAGACAAAATAAGCTGATGACGAAGCTGGTGGCTACTAAATTTATTTTCTGTTCCAAATCTTGCGTCACTTACGGAAAAGGCCTAGCGTGATGAAAATGCATATCACAATAACTTCCTGTAATATAATCTTTTGCTTCTACGAAATAAAAAACTTGGAAAAAAACATTTTGTTTAAGAATTTAATTGCCATACGAGCACCTACGCTACGGTAAGGGCATTGTTCTTAATTTATCCGACCCTTTGATGCAGTGCCAATGATTCCTGCTGATCTCAGCTCTATAAAAATGTGTTTATCGATAAGAATTGGAAGGCTTGAATCGTAATTTTACAAGTAATTACCATTCAATGTTCACTTCACCCGTCGGAGAGTAAAGATAAGTATATTCCGCCAGAGTCCGCTGGGTCTTTCATATAGATGACGCCGCTATCGCTTTTCCACCTTTCTGCTGCGGTGTGGTGCATGGAATCTGGGAGGCCTATCGATCAAGCTGAAAGTGCGCCAGAGGTATGGAACGAGCAGCAGTCTTGTGGATGCAACGGCACAGCCTAGATTTGAACGAGAGACGTAACTTTATCTTAGAAAATGTGCCCGTCTCTTTGGAAATAATGTCTAGGCTAGGGCAGGCTTGAGGCTGCAGTGCAGTCAGCCCCAGGCCCTGACCTAAGCTCGGCATCAAGCAAAGCCTTATAATAGCCGTTTTCAGTACGGGCTATCCGGCGAATGCACCTGATTTGACCAAATCTGCACCTAATTTCCAGTAGCGGCGGAACAACTTCAACTATGGGGGGCACTAACGACTTTTGATCCCATTCCTTCCATCCAACGCCCATAGGGCTAATGTTAAAATGCCAAAAGCAAAGGGGGTCACGGTGCTCCCCGTTCCGCCGCCTATGCTAACTTTTTTACAGCAAATATCTTCATTTTATGAATTTATTTGTGTTTTAATCGATCATGCTCTCTGATAATATGACAATTAGAATTTAGCAGGCATATAACTAGTGCAACCCTAGCTGATAGCTGCTAAGAGACACACTGAACCTGATTTGACCAAATGTGCACCTAATCTGTACCAGATGTGCACCAAATGTGTACCAGATGGCCGTCGTGAAAACGGCTATTATAGACGGAGGCAATTCAGGGCTGCGGAGTCGGAGTCGGAGTCGGAGTCGCCGAAAATCCATCGACTCCGCAGCCCGGGGGCCCGGCATACCTATTACGTCCTTAAGCCGGCGTAGCCATATATCGGCGGCATATGCCTAATCAATTTTGCATCGTGTGGAAATGAGTTTTGCTCGGGTCATAAAGGGCCAAAGGGACCACGTCACCACGTCACCAGGTCAAGCTAAGTAAGTCACTCGAAAGGTCATATGCTGGGTAGTGGGTCAGTTTAAGAGGCCGCTAACAGTTTTTTTTCAACTAGATGCTGGCAGCGCTCTTGCGTTGCCTTGGGCCAGAATTGGAGGAACGAAACTGAGGGCACACACCGGGCAAAACCCACCGAAACCCAGACTGAGCTTGGACTTTGCTTGGACTGAACTGGACTGAACCAAGACTGAACCTGAACAATGAACCTGAAACCAACCGAAGCATCCCAAAATGCTTGAAAGCACGTGAGATTCATGTGGAGATCTACCAGGATAGAAAAGGGCCACCTTTAACATGGGGATTGAAACTGAGATAGCCATCTTGTAGCCCGTGTCCGAAAACCTATCCGTTTACCTCCTTACAGCCGATTTCGGCCTCCATTCGTAGTTATCGGCAATTTTAAAAGAAAATATGCCAGGAATGCGTCCTTATCCCAGGAATGCGTTCTTATCCGACAATACAGCCACCCGCGGCGAGGCTTTGGTTTTTTACCCAATCAGCTCCAACCAGCTCAGCTTTAACCAATCAGCTTATCTGACACAATCCGACGAGTCTGTCTTCTGAACGCTGATTGGCTTGAGTGTGACGTCATCGCTATGCCATCATACAGTAGGTGCCGTAGAGAGTATCAACATAGTACCAATATGTTAAATAGTTTTAAATACTTTTTCGCGAATTGTGCACTTCTGGCACCAGTTTTAAAAGAAAATGAAAAATAATAATGTCAAAATGAAAAACAACGATATCTTCATATTTCACGAAGGTGGCCCTTTTCCACGTGCATAGTTCATGTCCCAGGCACCACAGTGCAGGCATTTTCATTACATCCTGTAGCGTGTGTCTAGTTCTCTCAGTGTACCGACTTTTGTGTCGCTAGCTCGACGTTTCCCGGGATCAGAGGATCCATCGTCAAAACCGTTATCCGCCCCCCGCACGCGCAGCTTGCACCCTCGGATATTATCTCGCCGGAATGTCGTGATCAAATGTATTCTTCTTATGACCTGCAAGTTTTGAACCAGTTAGAGCTGCCGTTTACCCTGCAGGCGTGGCAACGTACGAAGGGGTGCAATCGGCTTGCACGTGCATACTGCATAGCTCATGCACCAGAGTTTAGCTCAACCAAATGTGCATTATTTTGGAGGCCTTGCCTGGGACTACCATTGAGCCGATTTTGAGGTTGATTGAGCTTAAAATTTTTTCACATATGAAACTTTTTCCGGAATTTCCGAATTCCGAATGTGCATGCGGATTCCGGACAATTTCAAATCGGCTCAAAATGGGCATATAGACCAAACAGGATACGCTGATCACGAATCCGAAGTCCGTTCCGCGGCACATATGAAACTTTTCCCGGAATTTCCGAATTCCGAATCTGCATGCGGATTCCGGACAATTTCAAATCGGCTCAAAATGGGCATATAGACCAAACAGGATACGCTGATCACGAATCCGAAGTCCGTTCCGCGGCACACATGAAACTTTTCCCGGAATTTCCGAATTTCGAATCTGCATGCGGATTCCGGACAATTTCAAATCGGCTCAAAATGGGCATATAGACCAAACAGGACACGCTGATCACGAATCCGAAGTCTGTTCCGCGGCACATATGAAACTTTTCCCGGAATTTCCGAATTCCGAATCTGCATGCGGATTCCGGACAATTTCAAATCGGCTCAAAATGGGCATATAGACCAAACAGGATACGCTGATCACGAATCCGAAGTCCGTTCCGCGGCAAATATGAAACTTTTCCCGGAATTTCCGAATTCCGAATCTGCATGCGGATTCCGGACAATTTCAAATCGGCTCAAAATGGGCATATAGACCAAACAGGATACGCTGATCACGAATCCGAAGTCCGTTCCGTGGCACATATGAAACTTTCCCGGAATTTCCGAATTCTGAATCTGCATGCAGATTCCGGACAATTTCAAATCGGCTCAAAATGGGCATATAGACCAAACAGGATACGCTGATCACGAATCCGAAGTCCGTTCCGCGGCACATATGAAACTTTTCTACACAACAGTTCTACACAATGTGTAGAATTGTTGTAAAAAGGTGCTGAAAGTTTCGTAACGATATCTTAGGCCGTTTTTTACTTATCGTCAAAATCCGTGAGGGGGGGGGGTAATATTTACCCCAGCGCCGTGCAGGTTAACTATGTCTAAATCACCCACCCGTGGGGTAATTCGGTTTTTTAACACATTTTTTAACCCATTTTTGAGCCGATTTGAAATTGTCCGGAATCCGCATGCAGATTCGAAATTCGGAAATTCCGGGAAAAGTTTCATGTGTGCCGCGGAACGGACTTCGGATTCGTGATCAGCGTATCCTGTTTGGTCTATGCCCATTTTGAGCCGATTTGAAATTGTCCGGAATCCGCATGCAGATTCGGAATTCGGAAATTCCGGGAAAAGTTTCATATGTGCCACGGAACGGACTTCGGATTCGTGATCAGCGTATCCTGTTTGGTCTATATGCCCATTTTGAGCCGATTTGAAATTGTCCGGAATCCGCATGCAGATTCGGAATTCGGAAATTCCGGGAAAGTTTCATATGTGCCGCGGAACGGACTTCGGATTCGTGATCAGCGTATCCTGTTTGGTCTATATGCCCATTTTGAGCCGATTTGAAATTGTCCGGAATCCGCATGCAGATTCGGAATTCGGAAATTCCGGGAAAAGTTTCATATTTGCCGCGGAACGGACTTCGGATTCGTGATCAGCGTATCCTGTTTGGTCTATATGCCCATTTTGAGCCGATTTGAAATTGTCCGGAATCCGCATGCAGATTCGGAATTCGGAAATTCCGGGAAAAGTTTCATATGTGCCGCGGAACAGACTTCGGATTCGTGATCAGCGTGTCCTGTTTGGTCTATATGCCCATTTTGAGCCGATTTGAAATTGTCCGGAATCCGCATGCAGATTCGAAATTCGGAAATTCCGGGAAAAGTTTCATGTGTGCCGCGGAACGGACTTCGGATTCGTGATCAGCGTATCCTGTTTGGTCTATATGCCCATTTTGAGCCGATTTGAAATTGTCCGGAATCCGCATGCAGATTCGGAATTCGGAAATTCCGGGAAAGTTTCATATGTGCCGCGGAACGGACTTCGGATTCGTGATCAGCGTATCCTGTTTGGTCTATATGCCCATTTTGAGCGATTTGAAATTGTCCGGAATCCGCATGCACATTCGGAATTCGGAAATTCCGGAAAAAGTTTCATATGTGAAAAAATTTTAAGCTCAATCAACCTCAAAATCGGCTCAATGGTAGTCCCAGGCAAGGCCCCAAAATAATGCACATTTGGTTGAGCTAAACTCTGGTGCATGAGCTATGCAGTATGCACGTGCAAGCCGATTGCACCCCTTCGTACGTTGCCACGCCTGCAGGGTAAACGGCAGCTCTAACTGGTTCAAAACTTGCAGGTCATAAGAAGATACATTTGATCACGACATTCCGGCGAGATAATATCCGAGGGGTGCAAGCTGCGCGTGCGGGGGGCGGATAACGGTTTTGACGATGGATCCTCTGATCCCGGGAAACGTCGAGCTAGCGACACAAAAGTCGGTACACTGAGAGAACT